TGTTTGCACAGGGAATTTGGAGGATTTACCACTTGGTCACACTAAGCTCTCTGGTTTAATGGACCCCAGAGTTGCACCTAGGCACTCATAGCTTCCCCMAAATCCTTTCATCCATCCATCTCAGCAGCTGCTAAGACGAAACAAAACAAGCCATATTTCTCATATAGGCAGAAAATATCTGTTTCATTAATGCCCTGCAATTTTCAGTGCTCATTTTAAGACGTTCAAATTGAACCAACATTGTCTGGGAGAAGAAAGGAATGGTATTAGCACTTTCCAATAAAATGGATGCCTCTTAGGAGAGATTTAAAATTCATTAATTTAGAAAAAGGATGTAGTCAAGATCACTGGTAACTTCAGGAATCTTTTAATGTGATCTGCTTTTACAAAAAGAACCACATGAGCAAACACTGTGAATGAGAAAGCACCTGAAGCCTAATGGATGTTCGCATTCAATCATCACTTCGGTTAGTTTATCTGGCATCTYACCCGCTTTCCTTTTCCCGGTCTCCTGAGGTGTGAGGGCACTGCATCCATAGGACACCTGCCCATTCCTTCCTGAAGGATGTGGAAAAGTGCCTGCAGACAGACAATGACTGCACGCTCCCCAGTTCTCACCTTGCARGGCCTTACAAGCTTCCACTATTCCAAACACTCCCTGTGAACACCAAGACGAGGCAACGGGAACAATATGGCTAGGGGAAAATAGGGTTTGCCCAAGGATCATGGAATGAAGACAGACTCAGCTGCAAGAGGTCTCTCTGCTTTCAGCAAACCCTGATACTGGCAATGATCTAGACACAGTCAAAGACTTCATCTTCCACAGAAAAAAAACCAATCTGTTCATAGATCCCCAGTGTTATATAAAAATAGGCTTCCATTCCTTTGTCCTTTTACATTAGCACAGTATTGCCATCCATCCATCTGCACATACACATATGTTGTGGGAGAATAAATATAAATCATTTATTCATACCTGCTAAGATAAAATCTCCTGCCAATGACAAAAAATACTCTCTGAAATAAATTTATCCTATAATAAAGCAGAACCAGTGAAAGACAAACTGAATGCTTTATATACTACATGCTGTAGAACACTGGTCACTTACAGGACTTTTCCAGTGTCTCGCTATTCTGTTATAATTCTATTCTTTAAGCTACAAAACTTAACATTTATTTAGTTAATCAGTATTACAAATCTCATAAAATTCACAACAGTCACAAATGTATATCTGAGATTTTTTTCATAAAATGCAAAACATTGTTACTGTTAAAAAGAAGCTTTTTCCCTAATATAAAAGATGTGAGAATTAAGCTTTTTTTCATGTATCTTGTTGAACATTTTGTCCTATTTGGAATAGTACTCTGATGAAGGTGATAATGTTACAAAATTAGTGTTTAATGGCTCACATAAATATTGTGGTGTTGACGTTCACTATGGTGAGTTACAGTGCTACTTAAAATGATTCATGGCATCTCCTCTTTTCTATTACATGACATTAAACAAAAACATGCCCTAGCATGCTTTTACAAGATTATTATCAAGTTTAAATGTAATCACTACAAAAGAAATGGAACAAATGGAAAATAAAATCTATAACAGTAGATATATGTATATTTTGCCTTGTAAAAACAAGTTCTGGTACCTTATGTCATTTATGTCATTTTTCAGTCACTGGCAATAACATAATCTATATCTTAAACATTAATTTATTCATTCATCACAGTTATATAGGGAATGTGACTGTATTAAGTCAGCAAAGTTCTTAAATTAGAACATAATATCCAAGATGATGTCTTCCAAGAAAATCTTTACTTTACCATAACTATATTCTAGTTGGGAAGCATCATATGAACAAAACATATACCTATGTTAGACGTGAATTATTTTCCTCTCATCTCTGTTTGTCTATATGCAGCATTAATGGCAGTTTCCATACGGTACAGACAAGGACGCTTAACAAACTTTCATGTTTAATGGACTTCAGTTAAGAGTTCTGCTCATTGGAATATTTGTTTCATGCATTAAAATGACTAATGACCATTAATAACTAAAGATCTTGTAATTCTATTGTTCATATTCCTAACAAAACAAAACCTAAGCTGTATAGTGTGTCAGCATAAATACRGAGTGAAAATCATCCCAAAACTTCACAACATATGACCTTCTGAGATATAAAATATTCTACTGAATGGCACTAGGGTTGTTTCAYTCTTGATAATTAACTAGTCTTGCAGTCTGGCAGGAAGTTCCTGACCTTTGCTGAGGGTCTTATGAAATGTCCCTAGTGCCGTTCAGTATGCACAGGACATGAAAATAAGCACAGAGAGGGCAAGTACTAATGGCAGGTAAAATGGAAATTCTAAATCAGATAATTTGGTATAGTATTAACTGGCTACTCTAGATAAAAAAATAGAAAAAAAATAAAAGCCAAATATTGCATGTTTAGGTTTTTTTTTTTAAGTAATGACTATAAACTCTAAAAGCATACCCTAATTCATTACGATAATCTACGCCCTGAGAAGTGTTACACACTACATAAAAGCCACAAAAAAAAGGGTCAGTTTGTAATATTCCAAAAGCATAAACCGACTACAAAGAATTTCTTGGAAGCATGTATTTCCTCCATCTTTCAGCAATACGTTACTTTCAGAGGAAAAGTTTAATGAAAGTTAATGCAAATTATACCTTTCTTGACTTCAACCACAACCTTAAGATTTTCTTTTTTTGTTGTTGTTGATTTTGGTTTTGTTTGAACTCTTCTGGATAAACTAAATGGCTTCACAGATAAAGCTTTTGCTTTTTTACCTCAGATGAGCATTTAGACCTAACATGAGGTACCAAAAAAATTTAAGCCTGATGAACTTCACTTAAGGACATAAATCAGAGCACTTTTCAGGAGGTAGTCAGAGATATCTAAGTATTAAATGAGGCCACCTCTCTAACACTTTGCTACATTCTTTGCTGGTTGGAAGAACAGACAAGAAGACTGGAAGGAAAAATGACTCCGAACACAACGGAAAAAAAAAAAGTAGCAGTTAATCTTGGACAAGGATACTAACCTTCCTTTGAAACTAACTTGAACATTACAGTCATTTAAGAACAAGTGATTTCTCCCTTCTCTCTCTCTCCAGGAAATTCTAAGTGTAGAGAACTCTCATTATCAACAGAGAAAGGACAATCATGCACTTTTAGAAGTCACACCTATCTTTCACTTCAATGCTTTCATCWAAAGTCCCTGTAGAAGACACAGCCCAGCACTATTTTCTCACCACAGGTGCAAAGGTTCATTCACTTCCTACCAAACCCAAAAAGTTGAGGACCATTCTTCTCATGAGGGGGGTAAGACAAAACTGAAARAAAAACTTATCCAAAAATTAAGCCATCAAGTCTCTGAAGACTCATTGCTTAAATTACTCTGTGGTAGTCACATTGTGTTCACTGTATTCTAAACTATTCTAAAAAGCCTGTTTGCYCAGCTGGCTACGCAGACAAGCCTTTCCAAGGCTCCTTGTTTCTCTTCTTCATTATTATACAGTACAGTACTAAAACTTCATTAATTACCTACTTAGAGTAAAAAGGTTACTCCTGTCCATAAAGTCTAGCTACACATTCAGACCAGGCAGCACTAACACAGAACTTGAAATGCTAATTTCAAAAGAGAATCAATCTTTCAATCTTTTCTCTCTCACTTCACTTATTTATCTTAAATGAGTTCTATACAAGGTAACAAATCGGTAGAAACTGAAAATTCACTTTTCTACATATTAAACGACACAAGAATGTTGACTGTATAAAAAAACTTRAGAAGTTAACAAAACACTGCAATATGCAAGTACGAATAGATTAACAAATACTAATCACAGCAAATATAGGGATGGCTTCCAATATTCACTTTATATAATTTGTTAATGTAGGTATTTCTAATGCTGCACATGCTGCTCCAGTGGTTGTAACATACAGATGAGGAACCAAACAACAAAGGAGTAACAGTTAATGCTCATAACAGCACAGAACTTAACACACACTAAATATGATCCTTTCTGTTTTCAATTCAGTAGTTTCAAGTGAAATAAAAGATTTTTAGAAACAAATCTATTTCTAGCATAAAGAAATTGCTCAAAGACTAATCCAATGAATATAAAGTTTGAATCTATTTAAATGATATTACAGCAAAATCTAAAATTAGTAAATAGTTTAAAGAAGTTTACAGATGTACAAATTTTGATTTCTACCTGAAGAAACCTCAAGAAGTGACAGCCTTCTTACACTGCTACATTAGTTGAGTGTTTTCCCTGCAAGAGGACTAAGATAAAATGCTCTGATGTTCAAAATACAAAATGACTAACATGCTTTACTTAAAACTTATGAAGCTGTTCTTAGTAACCTTCATGTACATTAACTGCCAATGCCCTGAAGCAAATTTTTAAAACTGCCATTAAGGTAATTTAAGAAAAAAAAAAGTATCCAAACGAGGTTCTGAACAAATACTGAGTATTTAAACAGATTATGGTCCAAACTTATGGTTCCAGGATATCATACAACTACGATCTTATAATTCATCGAAATTATACCTTCAGTCAGGTCATATGAGACTCCTCACATAAGAGGCTTGACTGCGTTGAGTAACTTAGCTATATATATATTCTTCCTTAGCATAATTTATACTGTTAGGATGTTAAATTGAAGCTGAAAGCTTACTGAATATATTGATTTCAAAAGAAAACATGACCTGCTGCGACCATGTTTTCTGTGTGGCAAACTATAGTCTCAAATACTTCATAAATTTAACTGTTCTTAGCACATTAGAAAAAGGAGAATATTTCCAGCAGATAAAACTTTTAAAAATCCTACACTTTTGAGTGATACTACAGCAATCAGTTTTTTGCAAATCTAATTTAATGAAAAAAATTATTAGCACTATCTCTACTARGAATTATCAGAATGTTTTCCACATATGGAAAAAATCCACCTCTAATCAGCTATGTAGAATCAAATAATATATTCACACAAGCAGGTATAACCCCTGCTGACAATCAATAGAGGCTGAAAACATGTATTTGAGGACAGCGGCTTAATATTAAGTGTTTATGATGGAAGGATTGTCAAGTTTGACAGCATAGTATTTCCTCGATACAGCTCTAGGAAAGTCAACTAAGGCTCTAGATTATAGTCTAGAGAAAATATATAATGGATTTCAAGTCAGATTCTGTCATAACTCTTGCAAGTTTCCTCAAAAAAATCAGTTACTCTAGTGCAACAGGAAGAGAGCATTTCTTGTCCTGTCCCCATTTCCCAGTCTGTTCCTTCCTCTAATACTTCTCCAATGAACACGTAGGTTTGCAAAACTAAACGGACAAATCAACTAAGTTACTAAGTAACCTCAGACCAAGAACATGATTTGCAACAAAGAATGTCACCTGGCTTCACACTTTCCTGGCACACACAGCCATTAACTGGGTATCTATCCCCGGGTCGACACAGGACATTACATTTGTTTTAACGGGTCTTTTGTACACGGAGGAAAAGCCTGCAGTTGAGCATGGATAAAAGTTCCTGCTCATTTTTCAACGTTCATAGAGACATCATACAGCTTCATAATCCCCTCATTCCAACATCCTTCCCACATGATTACATTATTCAGTAATTAATAAAACRATAATTGAAGGAAGTATCCCAGAGCATCTGAACAGCCATGTATATCCCCAACTATAAAGTGGCAAGTACAGATGCTCATACAGGCAAAGCTTTGCCATGAAGATGCTTGCATCTTACCTAGAAACTGTAAACACTGGAGCGTACAAATGTCTCTGTTCTGCGGCTGAAATGAGTTTATGAACATAGTAAGACCAGAGGTAGTCCACTTTCATTTTGAAATGGAAAGAGTAACCCCTATCCACCAATTTATTTAGAATTACTGGAATTTCACATATTTCAAGCACTCTTCTTCTCAAGTAGTAACTTTTGGAGTGGGCTTCCTCTGTTTCTCCCTCATTGTTGCTCTCTGCCCAACAGAAAAACAGCTTGAAACTTATAGTCAAGAGGCACTTTGGGCAGGAGAATCATACAGCATTTTCTCAAAGGCTTTAGCTTGAATGTCTAATCCCCTTAACAAGTAGTCTCTGTTTAGAACAGAAGTAATGATAGCATTGCACAAACTTCTGTAGTTGTACAATATTTCTGCACTTAGTCTTTGGATCATGGCAATTTTGTTACTGTAAAAGTCCCTTAAATAGGTAAGTTCTATGGAAATTACAAAATAATCCATTTATGTTTAATTCCACTGGAATAGAAATTTGTGGCAGATTCCCTTAACATTTACTGTTATGTAAACAGAGGCGTACGGTTGGAGAAGAAGAGCTGTCTGCAAGAAGAACCAACCTTGTTGCCTCCAATCTCCCCCACCCAAAAAAAACCTGAAGTCCTGCARGAAAACAAAAGGGAAGACAAAACTCCCTCCTACTTTTTTTATTTTTTTTAATGTATAATTTTATTATCAATTAACAGAATTACTTTTTGCCTCATCACCTACTGGACTTGCACAGGCTTGGTTCATGTACAACTTACAACTATGTGATTTAGCAGGCTGTGATTGTGTAGTGTACACAATACATTCAGAAATGAGTATCAAGTGTCATTAACTCTGGATTGTTGAGGTAATATAAATAAATACAAAGTATGAAATGAATGTRAAGATGTCTGTTCAAAGAAACATGTTTCCAATACAGTTCTGACTGTGAATGCGTGCACATATGTGTGAGAAACAAATTTGTTCATTTTCCTGCACCTGCTTTCCAGAATTTTAACTTCATAGACTTACGTCCTCAGTTATGACTCCAAAACTGTTAATGGAAACTGGAAGAGGAAACACTGAAGTCTGGTCTTTTGCAAAAGATAATGAAGACAAAAGGAAACAGTCCTCACTGAATAAAGCCTGAACTCAGTAAGCTTTTGTAAGATACTTGTAATATCTACTCTAATAAAGAGGAACAAATTGGAAACAGGTTAAGGTTAAGCTGATACTGACAGATCTTCTTGTTTCTCTTCCAGGTACTCCATCTTTTTCAAAAGCATTTCAGGCTCTTCTTTTTTTAGGTCAAATTATTTATACCAAAACTAAAAAATAAGAAAATAGTATGACAGGAAGCTGCCACAAGTAGAATGWTTTTTAAATATATTAAAAACAGCAAACTGCATATGCTTAACAAAATGGTATGTCAGTTGTTTAATAAAGTGACAGGCATCTACTCTGAATATGAACTTTAGCACTGACAGTTACAAGGGTGAGAATTACATGGTTAGCTAAGACTTGAAACCAAGACATGCATTTGTGTCTGAAAAGAGAATATTGCACTAAAAGCAGAACCCTGCAGGCTTTAAACTTTTCCTTCACTGACTTAAGAAAGTAACTAACCATTTTCGATATGCAGTGGCAAATCTGACTTGTTCCATGTCTCTGCAAGTTGAGACAATTCTGTCAATGAACCTGTATTCCATTTCTGGGCCAAGACAGTCCTGCAAAGGGGCACGTTTCAGACGTTTTATTTCCTGGGTATAACCTTGCTTGCTGCTGGATTCATTCAAACCATCAACATCCATAGCTTGTGTTATGTGACTGGTCGCAGGACTGGCTTGTGAACTATTCAAAGTTTCATCACTGCTGTCCACAGATGACAACACCACATTTAGAAGAGGAATTTTGTTGCTTAGCTGGTGTTGAAGGTAGAACACACGCCTTCTACAGAGGAACAGAAGGAAGAAAGAAAGAAAGAGTCATATATTGAAAATAACCTATTTTTGTCACTGAACATACTTATATTAAAACGTCAGCCCCTCCCATCAGATGTCTCCATGAATCCAGTAAACCTCAACATATTTAAAGTGGATACAGTGTGTTGACAAATGGTGGGCCCTTGCACTTCTTCATAGCTACATGAGAAGTAAAAATTATACCTTCACACAAAAAAGGGTATTTCAAATACCTTTTAAAGAACTGTAAAATGTACTGCCTTCCCTTTCAAACTAACTTTCACTGCACAGCATTCACTATCACAGCTCATATGCTACAGAGCAAGCTCAGAAGGAACATGCACAGTTATTTTATGCTGAGGTGAAGGYAAGCGGCACAGGCAAAGGAGGGGGATGTGTGGCTACTGTTTTTTGTTGTATTGGTTACAAAGCTGAACAGAAAAATCTCTATTTCCAGAACAGGATTAAAGYTGTTCTGGAATCTTCAAAAGCACCGAATCTGTACATGCACTATGTGCAGACTCCTGCCATCTGAGGGTGTCTGCAATCCCATGAAGTCTGATCTCTGACTGAACATTGTATCAAAAAATATAGTTGAACACCAGAAGTCGTCAGTGCAGCCTCTCYGTTCAGCCTAGACAACACTTGTCAAAGCAGCAGATTTAACTGGGGAAAGTAACTGGTGCATGTATATAACAGCTTTCCCTATGGTGCAGTACTTACAACACASCAGAAACGAGACCCTATAAATGACTAGTGCTGAATTTAAGAAACTAAACAGACTTTGTATTTGGAAAGGGCATCAAAYCAATTCATGCGATAAACACTTGTTATATTTGCTTAGGCTACCATATCATAAAACATCCACTCTGCCTACCTAGGTTTTACCTTTTTTTTTTGGTTTTTTTTTTTTTTTTTGAGTCAGATAGGCCTCCCAGGTAACAAAGCACTACACTGGGAGAGAGGATCAAACACTAAAGTCTATCATATATTCATCAATCTTGGGGCAGGGGGGGAAAGAAAAAAAAAAACCAAAACAACCACTCAGGGTCACCTTGACAATACTGCTGTTATTCATACCCAGTCAGGCACAGGTACCCATGCACAGGTACCCATGCACAGGTACCCAGCAATACAGAAGTGTTCTGCATTTGATCTGCTTTTTGTCCATTTTTTTCTACTTTTAAACACCATCAAGCATGAGGAGGCTGATTAACTGCAAGGATGTCCCTGGCACCAACTGCCCTCTGGACAGAATATAGAGCTTATGCCCATCAGGTGCTTAGGGCCAATCAAATTTTCCATTGAACAACTCTGGAAAAGGTTCAAGAGAAAAATCAAAGGCTACACATCAGTCTGCCACTGAGCAGTAGGTTCTAAGTTCAGAACTATATTTTGTTTTTCCTGGAAGCGTTAGGCAAAGAACAATCCAATAATCAGAACAACATTTTTGACCAAATCCTCCTACCTATGACACCACAAAGTTTCATGTCCTGGGTAGGCATCAATCAAATCGGTGCAGAGTTCTAACTCTTCCTTTAGATGATGGGGAAGATCAATGCTCTGTTCTTCTGCACAGGCAGCCTCTGCCACCTCACTCTCCTCCTCCTTTGGAAGGACAGGGTTTTGCTCATTTACCATTTCTTTTTGAACTTGTATATTGTTGTCAGGCACAATTTTGCCTATCAAGGACTTCAGTAAGAACTGGCGGTAATGAAATCCGCTATGGTCTGAAACATGTGTGGACACCCAACATTTAGTGGAAGAAAGTTCATCAAGAAGAACCTGAAACAARAACAGTAACAGTAATCAATCAGCAAACAGGAGGAATCTACCAAAACTTTTCTACACTGAGGTACACTCCACTGCAGCTTCTCAGCAATCAGTCACTGTGGTAACAGTTTTAGAACACACACATAAAAATTAAATGATTCATCATCCTTGTCCGCAGATACCTAGGCAACCCTGAACAAAAAGCACTTACACTTTCTTCAAACCTGAAAACACAGAAGTCTCAGAAACCTTCACAGGGAACTAAGAAAAAAAATAAATAAAAGASAGAAAGAATTGGCACTGGTTTAAAGTCTCAAAGTGGCTATGAATAAAGATTATTTTGAGATAAATAAAAGGTATCCCAAAACGACACAAAATTTTGCCTAGATGATGCATGTTAGAGAGCAGAAGCTGTCAAATAAAAATCAAAATAAATGGGATTTAAAGGAGTTTATACTTTTATTTTCCTAAAAGGATCCAGCATATAGCAATGAAGATGATTAAGGGACTGGAGTACTTGTCTTATGAGGAAAGATGTTTGGCTTCCCCCCCCACACCCTTGTTTCGAGCACAGAGACAGCCTCCTGGAAATGAAATCATACCTATTCTAAACAGTATTAGAGCAAATAGAAGAGAGCATATTTATGCTATTATCTCAGAAAGACAGCAGGTTTTCTTTGTTTAGAAAAGAGAGACTAGCACAATCTTCTTTTGACAGATAAGCAAACTGATACGCGCTATCATATAATCTGTCATGCATGGTCTCTAAAGCAAGTAAAAACTCCATTTTCTGTCCTGTACTTTTAAACCACATGACCAGTCTCTTTCTTTTCAACATATCTAGAGTTACTGTCTTAAGTTACTAAACACTATTTTAAAGTTCTACTAAAACAGCATCAAGCTCAAGTGGTATGCAAGTTTAAAAAAAAAATAAAAATCAAACAAATCTTTACTCTCTGGAAGCGGATGATAAGCACATAACACACTACTCAGACGTTGGAATTATCTGATTTAACTGACATGTTTTAAGCTACAGAGCAATGTACTTTAACTGCTTGTATAAAACAGGATAAAGAATTCGCAGCAGCACCCCTTATGACAKCTCTTTTAGAAAAGAGAGACAAAAAAAATCTTCAAATCCTTTGAAATCTATTAACAAAGCACTTTTCTTCTAGAAGATTTGTAACAACAAAAGATGCTCTGAGGAACTGAAGGTTAACAACAATAACAAAAACTAACTGCTGACTTCTGCTTAAATCCTTTTCTCTTTTTTTTTTTCCCTCCTCTCAAGTCAACAGAGATCTCCTTTCAACACTACACAGAGCAAGTCCTTTGTTATTTTTCCACGAATCAAAGAGGAAATAACATGAAAACATCTTCCTCTCCATTACTGATACTTCTCCCAAGAACCTTCTTTTATCTCAGGTCGTAAACTGAATATAATGGAATTGCTACCTTAAGTGCATTCTATGTTACTTTCTTCCTTTAACCTCTGTAAGTTTATTCTCTCTTAATATCCTTCCTTCTTCTCCCTCTCTTTCTCTTTTTAATGTGGTAATCACCACAAACAGCAGCCCAGAACTTCCTTTTCAGTCTGGGACAATCAAGAGATGAAAAGGGAGCCCAGTTAGGGAAAAATCTTTTTAAGAACAACAAGGTAAATATGCCAGCCTCCTCTCACTTAAAAAACAGAAAGCTTTGCTGGTCTGGTCATTCCAGAAAAAAAAAMCAAAGCCATACTGGAATGACTACAGGAAAAAAAAACTTACCTTATATCTTAAGGTATATTGACGTGTTCTGGGTAGCTCAAAGGATGGTATTCCCTTGGTTTGACACAAGCTGCAAAATGTATCTTACATTAATCCAATTAATTMTGAACCCACATAAGAGTAGGCTCGCCCAATTCAAGGTGTCTCCATTAACTAATGGCAGTGTTATATAAGACAACATAAACACTCAACTGAAGCCAAGTGTTTTATCCTTTTATGATGCATGTACTCCAATAACGGAACAATTCAATTGATTTGGAATAATCTATTCTTGATACATTCAAATTGAAAACTARTACTATTCAGAATCTATTCAAAACAGATAATATGGTTGAAATACTGCAGGAAAACCAAGTTATTTATATTTAAAAATGTTTGAATATGTTTTACTATCTTGTGTAAAAGTGAGAAAACATTAGTATCTTGTAAGAAAATCTTAAAAAGTGCCTAACTTTCCCCTACTTTATTTCACATATTTTTTCTAGAGGAAAAGTCCCATCTAGTTTCAGATTCTGAGCTTAATTCAAAATTGTTTCAGTTCAAGAACCACGAGGATTATAAAACCAAAGGAAAAAAAGAACRAACTAAAAACCTCCAGCAGCCTTCAGAAATAAACTTAAAAACAAACGTACTCCAACTAAAGCAATCTGTCAGCTTTATAATTAATAAATTATTTTTTATGTTTTATTATTGTTTGTATTATTTATATCTTATAWCTATATACAGTATATATAATACTGTATTATTCGTTGGTTATTGGTTGGAGAACTTTCAATAYTTATTCTTTTGGTGCCTGTTATTCTTTTGGTGGGGGAAAGAGATATGTATTTTATACACACAAAATAAAAATGCTTAAAGAAAAAGTGAAAAATCAAAATATAAACAAAGCTTGTATGCTAACGTGGACTTAAACAATACAAACTCCTCAAATGAGAGGCAGACTTTTAAGAATTAAATGGCTGAAGAATCACAGCCATTGTTTTATTGACTGCTTTTTTTGATCACAGGTCTAGTTTTTCATCTAAATTACATTTACAGTTCTTTTTAGCTATTTATGCACACAACCTACTGTCTAGACAAAGAAAATACTTAGCAAGAGGAAATGTTCATATTTCTGCGAAAATCTGTTAGGCCCATTTTCCCTACTTTCCTTCTGAGTTCATCCATTTTTTGCTCCCCACCATATCAAATCATGCAAATACTTTTTTTTTTTTTTTTTTTTTTTTTTTTTTTTTTTTTTTTTGGGAAATTCCCTGGAAAGATATTGTATTTTAAAACTATGAACAAAACTATCACACTCATGTTCCATGCTGTTTCTTGCACTTCCTGCTTCCCTAGTGTGCACTGCAAGGTTATTTGAGGAGATGCATCAGCGTTGTATTGGAATAACGTGGAATTGACATGAGGGATCTGCTCAATGGCTTAAACACGTTATTCCACAAGCAGTAACACTAGTAAAGTATTGCCAAAGAGTATGAAAGCCAGTTAGGTTTGGTGTTGGATGAAAACAGAGAGAAAAAATCACTTTCTTAGTAACAAGGAGAAAAGGGAGACCAGTGGGGGAACTGGGATGGCTGCCAAGGCAGACAGGCTTTGGAGTGAGCTAATGGATTTCACACACCTCCTTTACAGCCATGCTACGACACAAGCATTATGTAAAGTATTCATAATTGACAACAATAAAAGCACCAGGCAAATTATGAGCTTAAAAGAGCTATTTTATCAATTTAAAATGCTTTCCATTTATTTAAATCATTAAGGAAAAACAGATACAAAAAGCACTCAAGATGTTATCCTCACCTTCAAACTACCGTTAACTAAAGGAAAAACACAATTGAATGTTAATTAATACTGCTAGCTTCTTTTCTGCTTCCTCCTTTTTCCCCCTTTTTAAATAATAGCTAGCAAAGGCTAATGTGTGATCTATTCAGATAAATAAAAATCATTAACTTCTAACCTCCAATATATCTTCACCCTGTAATTCTTCTGAATTTTCCACAACTTTCCTTTTTATAAAAACTTACTTTGTCAAGGAGACCTGATTCTGGACTGCCAGAGTCTGTAACATACTTTACATTTACTACTGAACTCCGAACATAATTTTTAATGTTTGTCAGGTAACAACTAAGAAAAAACATCAGTCCCTAGCAGTAACTGGCCCATAACATATAAAAACAATGTCTCTACAGACTCAGCAACTGCCTATTAATTACCCACTTCCAGGAGGTATTTGTATGATGACAAAAAGCAATGACTTCTGCTACAAGTGTGAGTGATGTTCTCAGCCTAATATAAACAGTGAATTCTCCTACCAGCTTAGAAACCACAACGTTTTAAAACTGCTTCTGTAACTTTAGATCATGTCACATCAATTAATTCTACTTAACACTGGTGTCCGAATGTTTTAGATGTTACCATGTGACTTCAAATTTTTACAGTGCACAAGACATCCTTGCTGAAGCTGAAAGAACACTCAGTATAAGGTCTGTGCTGGCAGGATGCAGGCTTATGCTTTCTTTAAAACTCAAACATTTTCTTTACCTAATATTCAACATTCTGACACCACATTCTGACACCAGCATAACAAGAAATCATGTTATATATAAAATTCACATACARCAACTTCAATTTCTGCACTAGAAGATTCATGTTCACTGTCACTTTTTTGTTTTAGCACTCAGAGTCCAATATACCATGTAACATTTCATTAAGACTAAATGCCAACAGCTAGACAGAAGCCATTTTGGCAAGAAAAATCAAAAATAGCACTCACTGCTGCAGTACTTTGCCCATTTTGCCCGTTTTTTACTTAAAATGATCCTCTCCCTTCACGTCACAAATCCATTTCGCAAACCCTTTTTTTATTTAAAATAAAAACTTAAAACTTCACTCATTACTATATTTTACCTTGACAGTCAGCTTTCCCAAGTGCTGCAAAACCCAGATGCGATGGGACCAGGCATTGTAGTTGCTTGGATATCTCCCCGCAGCTTCAGAGCACACATCCATTTCTTCCTGCACTAGTTGGTGAACTCTYTCCATAGGTGCTGCTCCCAAATTTCCTTTAGTCACAAGAGTGGGCAAGGAGTTTTCCTGAATTAGTTGTYGCAGCACCCATCGTCTGGTTAAATGGTGTACAGAATTAATGATAGCAGAATTTAAATATATGTGTGTGTATATRTATATATATAWATTCATTGATATTGATTAAGTAAGCTTTACTGACATTTACTCTATTTGAGCTAAGTTACAACTAGAGGCTTGATCTGAGCTATTCCCATATTGAAGCTTTGCTGTCACATTCCACAGTAATCTACATGTCGAGCTCTATTTCTGTTAGTTCTGTTAGTTGTCACAGCTACTTACTCAAAGGAAAGAGTATATTTATAAAGATACTGCTACAGTTGACTGCATGAGATTTGAGAACTCTCTTTTAGAGACTTCTGTAACTAAACAAAGTTTAAAAATGAGTCAGAAAAAATGGCTCAATAAAAATATTTGACTGCACTTCATGTTTACTTTTAACAATTGTCAATACTACTCAGAGCAAAAAAAAWTAACATTAACAGGAGAAAAAGAGTGCAACAAGTGTTTAGGCATCAGTACTTATTGAATATCACTTATTTCAGAGGCTCTAAAAAATCTGGAGGAAAGAAATGTTTGATTTTTTTCATCCTTTGTATATATGCGCCTATTACTGTTACTTAAGACAGTATGCTTAAGAAACATCTTGTTTAGGCCAAATGTATCTGAGAGGCTCAGTTTTTGGAATTAAAATAAACAAATGCAGGATTGCTTCATGACAGTTGTGCAATCAGAGTGTATATATATATATATATAGAGAGAGAGAGAGAGAGAGAGAGAGAGTCCATATATGCACAAGATCTATATAAAATTAAAAAAAAATGAGTTGCAAAATGCAATGCAAAACAGCAAATTTTGTGACTACCATATTTAATGAATAGGCTATAAGTTTTTTTTTTTAATATATTTTACTGAACTTTATTGCTCTGTTCAATTCTTTTGCAGTCTTCTTTGTAGTTTGGTAGCATATGGTGACACAAAATACTAAACAGACTACTACAATGAACAAAATCGTTTTCAGGAACCAAATCTAAACCATGCATTTGTAAAGTTCATTCTCAAAACTTCTTTTCTGTTTTGATCAAGATAATTTTGATAAGAAAAATTAATACAGGAATAAAAATAGTCAATTTTTAGGATTGTATAGAACTTACAGACAGATTTTTATCATTCCTATGAGGTAGAGATACTTTACTAACTTACAATTTTGGTTAATTTCATTAGAATGTATTGTTCCTCAAAATATACACATGGCACCAGTTTCAGGATGAATTACAYGCTGAAATTAGTTTCCCAGTGTTGGCTACTATGTCTGTAGGGCTAAACTATGAAAAACTGCAAGATTTTTCTCCCCTCATTACATGCCTCTTCTGCTCCATACCACGCAGTCAGGCAGCAGGAATAAGTTGGAGTTGAAGTTTGAGAATAACAAAATGAGAAGTTAAAATTGCAAAAATTTATCAACTCTGTTGCTATATTAACACTACTATGAAAGACAACAACAGAATTTATGTGGATGATCATAAGGTAAATAAACCTTAGTAAAAATAAAATGTATTACATTCTGTGTTAAAATTAGAATTTTATGTCCATTCACAAATGCAGAATAGCAGTTTACCAATAACTCATATGTCCAAAAATGTGGATGTTTTCAATAAGACTGAAGGTAGCTTTAATTCTTGATAAAGCCTAAATCTTTTAATAGGGAGTATAAACTTTCCRCTTTCTTAACAACGGACAAACAAAATGTAAATATATAAAAGGGTAAATGACCATGTTGAAATATATATAAAAATACACATACACCAGAAATGTTTATTACAAAGTTGAACAACGTAACTACACTTCACTCATTGTGCTACAAATATTTTATAAACAATGATAGCTGAAAACTTCATTATTACCCAAATTCATGAGACTATCTCCTTAAAAAAACACGCTTTGTCATTTCAATGCTCAGTAATGATGATGACTTAACACTGCGTATGTTAGGCAAGAAAAAAGTAAGTTAATCACACAAAGGACCGGAATAGAACCCAACTTCAGTTACAAAAATTAAGTTTTTCATGTTTCTGGAATGCTTGTAAATAAGCAATACAATACTAAATTAGGGAAAAAACAACAGTATTCAAATAAATATTTACTGTTATCTGCATTGGAATTCTCAAAGGGAAAGTTATAGATGCTGCAAAAAATGACAGATCACTAGGAAAAGTAATCTCCCTTCCAAAGGCATTTTAAAAATACACAACAAAATATGGTGTATCGCATTTTAGTTTAATACAAAATATAGAAAAACATACTCAGAAACCAAAGCACTCAATTTTATACCTGGATCAAACAATMTGCTATATTTCTAGATGTCCTTCATCTATCACTTTTCTAACAAAAGRAAAATTGTGAAAAAAGTTTACATTTTGGGAGACAATACAAGTCAACATAAACAAACCTATGAATCCATGTTTCTGGGCTCTTTGGAAATTTGGTTAATGCCAGTTTTCCAAGATGCAAATCCTTAAGTGGATTTAAAGTGCCAGATAGCATTAATTCTTTCCTACAAAAGATAAAATAAATTTATATGAATAAAAGATGTAATCCCAAAACAAAAAACAAATTCCTGTTACAATGGGATTTCTTCTGTAGCACAATACATCATCACTATCAAACTATAAGACTTTAAAAAGCCCTCAGGAGATTAACTCATTCCATTCCACTATATCAGGCACACTCTATTTAATCAGGCCCATAAAAATAAATTGAGATAAAAGACCTGCATCTTAATTTACACACACACAAGCTTTAAGTATATTTTTTTAATGCACAGTTCAGCATCTCTAAATTTAAAGGAAGGGGAAAATATGTTAAAATATGTAGAATGTTTTAGACCCTACCAGAGAAGCAAAGGTACTTAAACATAAAACATAACTTCTGTTTAAAAAAAAAAAAAAGGAAGAAAAAAAAGAAACAGGAACTTACCCTAAGAAAACTTAAAATTCATGATCAAGTGCTAGTTCAAGTTTTCAAAGTGAAAAAAAAAAAAACCCTTTTTATTCCCTTCCTCATAAAACTCCCTGTCCTACATTCTCTTTTCTTTCTAGGTTAATTTAAATGCTTATTGCCTTTCTCAAGTGTATTTTAAACACCTTCCTGTCATTGTGGACTCCAGAGACATTAGTCTCCATATCCCATTCTCCAATCTAGTAACTAGCTACTGTGAAATGAAGATGAGACAGTACAGTACTGGTAAAATGCAAAGTTACATAYGTAGACAGGGAACATTCAATTCCCAGAACCTTCGGAAGTTGAAACAGAACATTTAATACGGCTTGAAAGTTATGGACTGAACTACACAAGTAAATCGAAATAGTCCTCTGATGGTAATATTTACTGGCATTATTTGTTCTAGATGACTGTACACGTTCATTCATTTGTTTTCAGGGGGAGGCTGATGCACTCTTAGGTTTGATTTTGCATTGCTTTATTGAACTAATGCTTATCCACTGACCAGGCGCTAATAGTAACAATGGTAATATTAAGCAATTCAAGTTAGAAAAAATACAATGTATGCAATGCCTTTATTGACTGCAAGATCCCAGAAAACACAAGGAGGGCAGCAGCCTTGACACATTTGGGCAGTAGCATTGACACATTTATTGTTTCTGAATGAATGGATGAACAAATCTCTAGGTAGGTTTTGCCCCCATCTCCAGTGAAGCCAACAGAAACTGCTCGAAGAGATCAGAAAATACAGTTAAGGAACATTTGTTTTTATCTGAATAAGGTAGCAGCAGACCAGTATTTCTATTATGTGCACAAGAGAAAATGCAGGTATCAGCCAGGAATAGCAGACTGGCCAGATTATTCAGGCACCACAGCATTCCAGTCCTTTGTTCGCAAAACAACCTTTAGAAAAATTCAGGGATTGGTAGAATTATTGGAAGAAAAAGAATTGTCCCATTACTGCAATGCAAAAGGTGACAATTTGCCAAAAAAAAAAAAAAAAAATTAATAACCATTATGGTTAATTAACAAATTAACCACATAAGCAAAGGAAAAGTGGCCACTCAAAAAAATGCATGTATATATTAACACAGATTGAGATTACCAGCCCAGCTACCTCTCAAAATGAAAACTCTCGGTGGCAATATTGTTCTTCCTATACTGATGTATTGTTCACACATACTTACATACTTACTCTTCAACTTTCCAAAACTTAGAGCAACTTTAGGAATATCACAGAAAACATTTGGTTTCACTGCCACAGTCAAAAAAAAAAAAAAAAAAAAAAAAAAGGTTTCTTTTACCTTCAAAACTTTAAATATGTAATTCTCCTATTCACAAGTAAGAGGTGTCAGACACAGGCATGACTAAAGTATGATATACTACCAAATAAACTTTGAGGCTCTTTAACTGAATATCTAAATTGGGACACATAATTTTGAGCTTACATTGGCCACTTGAACCACAGATAAGTTTTCAGCCTTCAGAATTTTGATTAACTGTACATTTCAGCAAGTATATCATAAATATATATATATATATGTACACACACACACACACACATACATATATACACAAATAGTTCTCTACATGCATTTCTGTGATAATTCCTTCACAGTCACTTGCATAAGCATTCTGGTCATTTTAACTTGGAAGATTTTTCATCCTTTGGAAGGTTTATCTTGCAAAACCATAAGATAACTGAAAYAGTGATAAATGGTTGCAAATGTTTTTTTCCTCTTCTCCACCACTCAGTATAAGCAGCTTATTTTGTTGACTAAGCAGTGACTAAGCAATTTTCTGTTTCTTTTTTCCCAAGAAACTATTAAGTTCCCTCTGAGCACTAAAAAATATTTATGCATCTTCTATTAGCATGCATTGCTAACAATTAGTTCTTGTCCAGTTCTCTTGGTTCTGATTATAATTTTCTGGCCTCTTGTGCCTTTCTAGATATTTTCAATCAAAATAAATTAAAAAAAAATCCACAAAATTTTACAAGTACAGACACTGAGTAACGACAAGTGATCAAAGCATCACCAAAGTCAATATGGACTGCATCACTTTTCAGTGACATAGATAACCTAAGTTTTACCTTTGCTGTGCGTCACTAACAAGTAAAAAACTCTCGAGATAGTTAGCCAAGTATGAGTCTGTTTCTAAGCCTTCCCCTCTTTTACAGTTTCTTGCTCTGCTCCTACGAAGAGATTTCCTTTTCCTAYTTTCAAACAAGTCTTCTCCTGTCTCTCCAAATACAATCCTGTTGCGTCCGTTGCTACGTGTGAAGCTTTCAGCCATAAATATCTTAACAGAGAATTCAACACAGGAAACAGTGATTATCTCAGCCTAAAATGAAACAATAACATGCTCTACAAGCATGGCAGCTCAATAGGAAAGGCTGCTGTTAAAGAATTTTAGTAAATAACAAGCACTTTTTTTGTTTGTTTTTTTTTTTTTTAGGGTTCCTAAAGTACATGACACTTATTACTCTCAAGATAAAAAGGAATTTCTGTGTTAGAAATGTAAGACAAATATGATGCAAGAAAGACTTGCTAAGCAAAAATAAAACAATCACTCTACTGAAAACCGAGTGCAATTTGCACACAATTATGCTCCCATTTTATTCTAACTTTCTGTAAGATCATTCTTTGCACATCTGTGTGGAACATACTCTACATGCTATTCTAAGACCCTAAATGACAGACATGTTTAGTAGTTTGATCTGTAATCTGGCGGTAAGTAGCATTTAGTGGGTATTTCACCAGAACCTGAGAGGATCAAGCGTTTCAGCTGAGGTCAGGCCACTCAGTGGTGCCTTGCTTTCAAAAGAGCCACCTCACAGCCACAGACTAAACCAGTGTAAGTTAAGATTCAGGATAGGTTTAGATTCAGCTACCCTAGTCTTAGTTACAGTAGACTAAAAGGTACATTACACAACTGCTGATGAATGGCTGAYACAATACTAGGTTCTGAACACTACACAGTTGATTCAAACATACTCTGAATACTCACAGAATACAAAACAATCCTCGTTTATACCCCTAAATACTTTATTCCATGTGCAACTTTAATTTTTTCATCTAATGAACGTCCTAGCAAGCTTCCAGCTATCAAGCAGAAAAAAAGAATACTTTCTAATAAGGASAGACATATAAAGCATGCATTTTCATTTTAAAAAGTACTAAAATGAAAGTCTCAATTCAGTTTTCAGTACCAACAAGATATCACTGTTATGCTGCTGATTTMATTTTATCACTTTATAGCTACATGACAACATATCGACGGTATATTTTTTCACGACAGTAAGTTCTTTTTATCACCTTCACACTCCTTTTCTTAGATCTGAGACAACTGAAAAATAAGGTCACTAGAGAATCATCAGGAACTACATCAGCCATGAAAGCAAAAATGAATTTGTATTATCTAGGGCTAATAGCTTACCAGAGATAACACCTTTCTAGGTCATTTCGTTCATTTTTCCTACTGCAAAGGAGCATTTTAACTGCAAAAAGTCTATTTTTAAAACTGAGAATCTTCCAGATACTAACATATAACCTCCTGTCAATTTCCTATCGACCCTCCACCCYCTCTAAAACTATTCTTTTAAGGCTGTCCCTAAGTTTACCTATGCAATATAAAATAAATATTTCTCTACCTATGCACACTAAAGAAACGGAAGATGCTGTCAACGGGATCACAAGGCTGTATAGTACTGTTGATTCTGGACAAAGGTAAGAGTAGGAAAGAAATTTCTCCTCTTTCATAGACTCCTGAATAGCCAGGTGCTGCAGCATGAGCAACAGTGAAGCTAGACCAAACCGCACAGGTAGAGAAAAAGGAAAGAGGTGGTGCAAAACATGTACAGAAGAAAGCACTGTATTTCTCCTCCTCTTTCAAGGTGTATCTACGAGGCAGAGTACTAACTGAGTGTTATTCAGCTTTCATGAGCTGTTTGGATAAGGGCAGTAAATAGAACATTTATCTCAGTGACACAGGTATAACATTCAAAGAGTGCTGTATGAGAACAGTGAGAGAACACAGCAGACATCAATTGGGTGCTACATGATTTAGGGGAAAGAGTATTTACAGCTAAATATATGTACAGTTATAAATTGCCTTCCATAACTCACAGGAGAAGAGCAGCCCTTCTATGCAATTTATCCAAAAAATATGACCAACTGAGTTTTCACTTACGATAACAGTCTTTATCCAACACTTAAGCGAGTAAAACAAAACAAAAAAAAGAATAATAATTGAAATTGAATAAAAATTGAATAAATAATACATTTTAAAAAAATACTTTCAGTATTTCCTAGGTGAAAAGCTGCTGTTGTGTCATTCAATACCACTTAAAACAAAGTTTATGGCTGACTGATATTTAAGGTGACTGAATGCAACATACCTTACATTCCAAGCAGTGGTGAAATCTGGGTTCAGTAGCAGCAGAGTACAGGTGATATCTATCAGTTCTAAGGGATTAAGCAAAACAAAAAGCACAACAATTAGTAGTGATTTGAATATAACAAAGGTCTTTTCACTGCATTCCCAGACCCCATCCCTCCTGAAAGTCTCTTCCTCACTGGCTCCCTTACGTAGCCAAGGCCACTGTAAAATACCACTAAATTTTATTCCATAAAACATGCTAGCTTAAATTAAGAGGAGTGTGTGGCTCCTCTCTTAGTTAAACTCCTCTCTTCTTGTTTTGATTAAAAAATAAATTTCTATTGTGCTAGCAGAAGTTATATTTAAGACATCTGGAAATGGAAGTTGATGACCTTTATCTCTAACGCTACAATCAAAAATAGACCATTTTCTCAGAGTGGGACAGGGATTACAAAACTTTTGAGAATTTAGTGATTTAAAYTGCAGACCTGTGGTATAAAGTGTGATAAACACAGAATTATTTGAGCAAAATTCAAAAGCCTCAGAATGACAGTGACATAAAAAAGTACTATTTTAGCACAACCCAAAGCTGCAGATGACTTCTATATACTGTATAACTATTAGAAGTGTGTATGTATACACACACACACAAGTGTGTATACACACACACACACACACACACACATACACACACTATAAACTACATCTACGCAAATGAAATCCATGGATCAGGATGACATCTTGCTGTATTGCACAGCAGACAATACTTTCAATTCATTCTGAACTGACTGCCTTACTTCATATTGAGATATTATGATTAAGTCACTATAATAAAGAACAGAAGTGTCTGTGATACTTTACATTCTTTTAAATCGGCACAAATTGTAGACATATATTTACAAATTTTAGCAGCACCATAAAAACCAAGACCAAAAGGTATGTGGCAGGTGACAGTGGGAGAGTAATATCACTGTCAGTATTTCCTATTCTCTTTGCACTACAATGCAACCATCAAGTAGTTTGACTGTAAAATGCAGAGTGCATGAGGCTTCTCAATATGAAACACACTGACAGCCTTCAGTACTTCCAGTGTATTTTCTWAACCTCTACTCTTGGGAGAAAAAAGATAGCTCAGTTAATCTGCCCCTGCAATCACATTTTWTATATATATGGTAATTTTATGATTAAGAATGAGTTTTCTTCAAAACTGAACATAATTACATGCATTTACTGCCAAGAATGTTTGGTCAGATTCCCTCTCATTAATTTCACACTAAAGATATTAAACAAACCACACTAAATTCCATGTGATTTCCCACAAAGACAGTCATTGCACTACTACTTAAGGAGGAGAGTATCTCCTGATCTCCTGTTGCTCGGTTCACAAGGTTATAAAATGCAAGTAAAAAAATACTATATAAAGCAATAATGCCACATGTTAATGAAAAACATATTAAAGAAAAGTGACATCAGGTATCTTTCCCTGAGATGTTTTTCAGAAAAACAAGTTGTTAACAATAATTAAGAAGTGGACCAAAAAGCGGAACACCTTTCCACTTAATATACTTGCAGTATGACTTGTTGTATGATTAATTGTTCATATACATCCAACAAAGTAATTTGTGTTTCCCACGATATTCCCACTTTGAAAAACAAGTTATGTTGTCACATTACTACAGTAAAAAAAATCTTCAGTGTGCAGGGCAAATTTTACACTTTCTTTTACAGTGATACTTGAAAAAAATACTTGAAAGTAGTAATTCAACTCCGTATTTCACAAAGTGTGGTTAATGGCTTTTGMCCCACCCCCATAATAAAACATTCCTCCTTAAAAATCAACATGTTGCAAAGACAYGAATGTTTCTAATACAATCTAACAGCTTCTGATACGCTACCTAAACAAATAACTAAAATTCTTTGACTTACTCATCCCTGAACCAGCAAAGTACCTAAACATCTAATAAACAGATTAAATGCCTACTGAAATGGATAAATTGACCAAAAGAAATTTCAAAGACTAATCACTTATTTAAATCGGGCATCTACTAAGTGTGTTGATGGTTACTATTTCAATTTTACACAAATAAAGTCTGAGGGGCAGTTTTTAACAACACAGCACTAGTTTTATGATGACACATTGTGCCATTACACATTGTGTACATATATGTCTATATACATAATGTATACGTATACATTATACATATACATAAGACACACAGCTTATACTGTGAGCTGCAGTTGCTTTGTGTATGTTTTCCATTTTGTCTTGTCAATATATTAGTAGTTATTCCATCTTTTTGAGATCTCTCAATTGCAGATATGAAGGTAAATGAAGCAGAACTTTGCAACATTTTTCATCAGTTAACTTTCAAAATACAAAACACAGATTTTTTTTTAAACAAGTAAAGCAAATTATAAAGCAAAACAAAAAAAAAAAAAAAAAAAAAAGATAAAAAAAGATAAACAAGGGGGGGAAAACGACTTGATAATTACCAAATTGCTTGGGCACATGAATTTTGGGACTCCTAAATCTGAAAAACATCAGACTTGATGCTTAGAGTCATACAATATTAGAACTGTCTTGTCTAAGGAAAGTAGGACAACATTCTCCTTTAGACAGAAACATTATTTTCCTAAACCACTCAAGGGTAAAATCTCCCTTTAACTATTCCAACTTGGGCAAGAGAAAGTGGATTTGCATTTTCAGCACAGCAGTCCTGCWGCATGTTCAAGTCATTATGATGTCCTGCACAGCAGGTTAAAGTGACCTTAAGAATGGTCAGTGTAATGTCACAAAAACTAAAAAATGTTTTGTGTGTAGAATCACATGAGACTTTGCAATCAAGTAACTCACCATCCTTGTTCAGCCACTGTTTTCTTTGTCTGTAGAGGAGAAGCTTATTGTGGACATACGGCAAAAGGAACTTGACACACCAGCTCTCCACACCAAGCTTGTTTTCCACTAGGACTATGGGGCTCCGGTTATACCTGGCTTCTGGGCAGGGTATTAATCCAATTTCATCTCTTTAAAAAACATAAAGAAATAGTCAACTTATCTGCARTATTTACCAAGTATTCTTCTCAACATAACATACCGCTAGTTTTTCTAGTCTCATTGTACCATCAACTTCTTCCCTGTCTTCACTTAAGGGTTAACCCATTATCCTCAGTTTAACCTTGATTCTTACTGGACTGCAGGTGCTATAAAACACATTTTGAAAAAAGTCTCTTCACACTTATGCAGTAAATTAATCCGGCAAATAAATAATGTGCAAGTTTTAAAGCATGAATAGCATTTAAATTGAGCAAAAAATGGTTTATAACTACGTGATTTATTCAGATACAATATAAAGCTAATTGTGATTTTCAGGTAAGAGCCATTAGAGCAACTTATACCACTTCCTAAATACTTTGCTGGATGTGCGACAAATTGCTCTGAAACTAAAGATAACGCAAAATAAAATCACATTCTGCCTTTCATACTGCAAACAACATACAGAACAAGATGTTCAWTCCCACATGCAGACATTTCAACTTTCTCCTTTCTATGCAAGGCATTAAACAAATTAAAGATGCGAGTCTGACATGCCAATCTGACTAGACTGARACTTAATAAATGGTAACAACATTCTGAACTTAAACTTATATCAAGTTTCTACATAATAAACAATGATGGCCACAGAAAATCATACAACCAAACAAAGCAGAAGACATACTTTTTGTTTGCTTCAAATGGAGTTTATAGCTTCTTAAAACCAAACAGACATTGTCAGTTATATACATTCACTAGGACAAAACATAACATTACTCTGTACTTTCTACTGTGCCTGATCTCATTATCATCTTTTACTGAGAAAATTCTATCACTGAGAAAGAAGATTATGTCATCTCRGAAGAAAGGAAGATATATTACTACCTCAGATAGAAAAACCCTGAATTCCTTATGTTTTCTTTGTACAAGATCTAGAAATACGTTTCAAGTGTCAGCCACATAATCTGAATTTCATTATGCTTTTATTGAATAATCTAAATACATCGATTGACTTCTATGTCCTCATTACTAAACCAATTAAAGTAGCATTATGTGCTTGCTTTGGTTCATTCTGACAGACCGCAACATAAATCTTAAGACAAAAAAAGCAAAAGTAACTCCAGGCAAGACACACAAACCACTCAGTCCTTTACTCAAAGGCATAGCAAATCCCTTACCCATCCCTTGTAATGGGAGCTCAGAAAGAAGAAAGCATACATGTAGCTGTTCCTGCCATTATAAGCAAACAGTCCCAAAGCGAGACTCTCACTTCCACAGCTCCACTCGAAATAATTCAGGCCTTTCAGAAGACTAATCAAGTTAAATGACATTCCAGATTTAGTTTCCCCTTCTCAAGATGACATCTTATATCTTGAGGTTTGTACTTGCTCACTGTTGGCTCCATTTTAATTCATTAAATATTAAACCTGGTCCTTGGACAAACTATGTCTGTCCTTGCACACAAGGACATACAGGTTCTCAGCTCTAATGAAGATGTTACCCACAACTTCACTAATTAACTCTGCAAATGATCATGAAAATTTACCAGTCGATACATSGGCTCACTGGAAACAAGCAGCGAGAAGAGGGATAAAAACAAAGACACAAACACAGTACACTCACATCTGCACTTCTTCTCAAATGCAAGAAGCCCAACTCAGCAGGACTAGATTTCACAATACTACTTTATACAAGCCRTAATGGCAAGTAGATGGGTTTTCTACAGAGCTGACAAATCAGTCTAAAATACCTCAATTTGTTCAGTGAATCCAAATGTACAGAGAATGTAGACTGCTGGACATGAAATTCATGTAGATAAACCACTTTCTGCATTGAACAGTGTCTGATAACTATTCTGTTATCAGTTATCAATTATGTTCAAGATTATTCCATCTTATTAAAAAATGCAAACTGGGAACTGACTTTCAGCAGCATGCTGTTTAGAATATTTTGGTATTGTTGAACTCAGTTTTGAGAAAGAACAGAATTCAGGATTTAAGATAAATTTGTTCTTCCTCAGATATTTTAGGTGGGGTCTCTAATTTATGGTTTACCAAAATAATTCATCCAAACCATCACCTATTCCCARCTGGCTGTTCCTGAAGAGGCCTTGGTCCTTCAAGAGCTGCAARTAGTGGGATAGATCTTTCATTTTTTCCAATGCAGCAGCCTAAGCTGAAATGACTTGAAAGCACCTGCAGCTTCTCTCTCACCATATATCAAAAAAAATGTATATGCAGCAGGATTGCTACGCAGGCACCACAAGTCACGTGGTGTTTGTAAAACTGAGACTGAAATACGCCTAATTTTGTGCACGTGGCCCCTGGTAGCTCTGTGGCTGGAAAGTAGGCAATCCTGTCATATGACCACACTCAAACTTATTACAGGGTGAAAGGTGACTAAATGAAGGTCAAGTGACAGATGCAAACTGCTCACAAAATACTGAAGGAAATGACTATTGACAGCTGCTCTCTGGTATTTCCCACCAGCTGAGGCATCATCTACCTTGAAAATAAGGTTTAATTTCACTCCTTCGTTTTCTGATACTGTCTCTTGAGTTTTAGGATGGTGTTGGTTCTTTTACACTATTTTCCTATAATCAGTAACACAATCATATTCCAAAATTCACACTAATTATCTGAAGATAATTAGATGATCTTTAGATGATCTCTTTAGTTCGTGTTCCTAAAACACATCCTGGAGTCAGCCAAAGCTAGGAGTAATATTTTAACTATGGCTATCCTCAGAAGTATCAGCTTGTCCTGAAGACGACAGGAGTCATAAGGCCTWACCAACCTGCGCTGAGGCTGGGAAACATGTTCAAGAACATGAAGGCCTAACAYTGGAACTGCACAATCCAGACCTTTTTCACACTTACACCCTAACCATGGCAAGTTAACTTTGAAAAGCTGTTGCACCACAATATTCAAATGCTCCAGGCTGATGACACAGCCATTCAATAGGCTAGCCAAAGCTGAACTGGTGGACCCACTTTGGACTTTTATAACCTTCTTGACATAAGAAGTTCCCTCTTTCAGAATAAATACATCACAGAAGTATTACTAGGTAAGGAGACTTTTGCAGTGATTATCACGATGGATGGGTTTTTAACTTTTGGGTGCTCAGCATTAAGAAACTTTGTGTATTTTTTCCAGATGACCATCTTTAAAATAACTCAGTCTCCCCTCAATAAGTAAGCAAGAGGATTCTAACTATTGGTCAGGGAATGGTTAAAATTTGAATTAAGTATAATCAATTGATACAGTTCAAATATTATTGTATTGATAAAGATAACTTAGATGTAGATAGCCAAATACTACCATAATTATGAAAATTTTCTAATACTGGAAGATAATCCAGAGCATGGACATTTGAGACATTTCTATTTTTAAATTAAGTCTCATTACAAAACCTCACACTTAATGAATTTTCAACACTAGAGAGGAAGAGGTGTCCTAAACCCAAATTCTAAAACCCTTCTCCCATTATTTCATAATGCAGCATAAAAAAAATCTGTAAGTTCTGTTTAGTGTTTATCTTTGTAGGAGAACCAAAATCTCTTCCAAAATTGAAAATGAGATAATATTGAAATCAAAAGTACTTTTTGTCACTATTTGTTTCTATAGCTGTTAATTTTTCAGTCTCTAAGACATTATTATCACTGTCATAATAATCTTCCTTTAATTCTCAAACTTTAGCTGTAAGAGCAGTAGTAGAGCTGTAGTGCTCTGCACTAGCAAGCCCCATTCCTAAATTCTATAAGCAAGTTATTTTTACTTTGAATGAGTGTATTTTGAAGCAACAACGGACTACAAAGTTACTTAACCGTCTCAAAGAAGTAAACTGGCAAAAAGAATTTCATATTCACCTAAAGTAAGAACTTAAGAAAGCAGTTACAGCGTTTTTCTTTCAGAATCCCCAGAAGAGACGTTTGTAATCACAACAGGATTTCAAAGAAGCGAAGTATTTTTACCACATGAGACAGAAAAAGCTAACTGAGCCAAGTTGACATGGGTAACTTTTGGCAAACTACTAATGGTGTCCCTCTGGTTTTGTACTCAAATGCCATGCATGATCTAAGAGATTGTCTTTCCAATTAAAGAGATTAAATTCATACGCTCTTAGGAAAAAAGTCTGTATTTGTTTGACTTCATATGCAAGAGAAAAGCTTAAAAACAAAATCAAGAMCCCCACAAGAAAGAACACTTTTTTCTTTGAAAAGGAAAATCTTCTCACTTTCTTGAAATAGTAATGGTATTCTATAATTTCTGGAATTGGAGCACCATTCCCAAAAGGTGGTTCTGCTCTTGAAAACACAAGATCTACTCACTGTTGGCAACCCATTTAGTTTCAATGGGTCAGCTCAATCAAGAGCTGTAAATCATGACCTGTCCCTGTGGAACTGGGCAAAAACATCTTGCAAAAGAATTCAAAACCCTACCAAATTGAAAGCTTGCATGCTGACATTATTAGCTTTCTGAAGATGAAGGAGCTATTAGTGAGATAAGACAAAACGAATTTTGCATTTTATGCTTAATTAGAAGTAAACTTGCCTCAAGAAGATCTATATTCTTGCTTAATTGGGAAAAAAAAAAAAAAAAAGAGAGAGAATCAGGCCATTTTTCCATGTAGCCTAAAACTACTTTTTACTTGCTTTTCAGTGTTGATGAAATACTATCTATATTCTAACCCCTAGAAAACTAAGACCTTGCCAGAAGAAAAAGTCCATTCTCCCAGACGTAAAGGTGGAAAACGAATCAGGAATGAAAGACAACAAATGCTTTAACAGAAATGAAAGCAGGAGACAAAACTATGAGAAWCAAATAGGAGCATCACACATTTGGCAGCCCACTCATTTTCAGTAGAGTCTGGTATATGGCACATACAGAACTCAAACTTGGACCTACRACACAAACAAGTGACTGGAGAGGGTAACGTGTGCTGCGAACTACAACTGATTATAAATGCTTTAGTCAACAAYAGCAAGGTAAGATGCCAGTTGGTGAGTCTGGCCAGCAGGGCTCCAATCTACAACCCAAGAGGCATCATCATGGAGGGCCTGCATAAACACCCGACCAAACATGTGGAATTCCAATTCAAATCCTCAGTTTAGTGATCTAGCAGACAGCATTYCCCTATTTTTTCTAAATACGGGGCAAACTATCAAAAGTACATGTTTCTTTACACTAAGCATGACATACTGAATCAGTCTCACAGCACACACAACTCTGACTTCTTTCACAGTTGCAACATAGGAGACAAAAGTAGGTTGCAATATATTCTTCAATATACTCCACCAAAACACAAACTCAAAATCTGCTACCARTAAACCGTGTTTGCAATCGAGTAAGAATTAAAAAGAATCAGGATATTCATTCGCAAATCCTGACCATTTACAGAGCTCTATGCTTTACAACAAAAAATACCAGAAACCTCAGAGCAAAATAAAGTTGTTTTCTGACAGCATCCACAAGCTGTATTTTAAAACCTGACCACCGATTCAGGTTGCTAGATACATTTATACAAACTTGAAGATATTCATTCCCATTCTCTCCTTAAATATTAACTGTCAAATTAAAAAGTACCAGTGACAACYGCCTAAACAACTGCTTAGCACACGACTTTATGGAACAGATAATAGGCTGCCACCTCAGAGACTGCAGCTTTTTGGTCCAACACTGATATACTGCACTAATGTTATAATATTATCTGTTTAATAACTATTAWGTTATTATCTGTTAACTGAGATAATATTTGCCAAACCCATGGGAAATCTACATAAACAGAAAGASGCTTCCCCGAACAATTTATGTCTTGAAACAACAAATGAGGGGAACAGACACAGAACCAGGGGAGGTACTGAAATGAAGGACTCCGAGTGGTAACAGAACTGAAAATAAAACACAGACCTTCTGACTCCCAGATGGTCAGATAAACCTGATTTCCAAAGGACAGTAAAAGCAGCTCCTATTTACACAAGCATCCTGACTCCTTCAAAACAACCCACAGCAAAGAGCACCTGAATCTTCATTAAGAGACACTGGGCAAAGATACAGCAGATTTAACAGTATTATACTCAAGAAAGCGCACTATCTGTATACAAATAAGCAGTTTAGCATCTCTAGTGACTGTCTCAGGATTCAGCCACACGAAGCACCAGCCCCCTCTGGGCAGCATTATGAATTTAACACTAGCAGACCTCAAGCTCCACTGAATTTCACTTAAGGATCCGAGTTTATAAAGGTACTTATYGCTTCCAAATTCTAAAGACGGCGTGGGTTTCCGTGCTGAAGCACAGCAAGCACCCTCCTGTTTTATCCATGACCCTCGCTTTCACAGCGTGGCGAYGAAGCGGCCTCAGCTCTTCCAGGCGCAATTCAGGGGCCGCACGAGGAGGGCTTCGCCTGGCCAGACGCGCCGCTCACACCGGCCCCAGGACTTACGTAAGAGCCCCGGGCGAGCGCCCGCTTTCACCGCGGGCTGCGAGCACCTCGGCSCTCAGCAGCTCGAGGAAGGCCCCCGAAACGCACAGCGGCGTTCGCCTCAGCGCAGCGCTCCCCGACGCGCGGCAGGGAGGCTGCCGTTAACGGCCGTTGGCGCCGTAACGGCCGCGCGGCGGGGTAGGGGCAGGGCGGCGGGGGTAACGGCCGCGGGGCCGCGCGCAGGAGGGCGGCGAGACTGAGACCCGCCCCCCTCGTCCTCCCGCCGCGCCGCGGCCGTTGCGGCGCCCGCGGCCGTTAACGGCAGCACTCACATGTGCGGGTTGCGCTTGAAGGCGTTGCGGATGTCCTTCACCACGCGCTGCACCAGCACCGCCACCTCCTCGGGGGACTCGGCCATCTTCCGGACCGAACCGGGCCGGGCCAGGCCGGACTGTATCGGGCCGAGCCGAGCCGCGCCGCCGCCGAGCGAGGCGGGACGAGCGGGGCGGGCCGGAGCGCTTCCGGGTCAGCGCCCCCTCCCGCAGCAGCGAGGCGCGCGCCGCGACGGCGGAGGCGGTGCCGCGGCTGTGGGGGCGGGGCCTCGGCAAAGGGGCGGGGCCCGCTGGTCTCGGGGCGGGGCCTCGGCGTGGGGCGGTGCGTTTGGTCCCGGGGCGGGGCGCAGGCAATGGGGCGTGGTCTGTTGGGGGCGTGGCCGCAGGGGCGTGGCCGCGGGGGTTAAAGGCAGGTCCTCGGGAGTTAAAGGGTTCACAGAGCATGCAAGATACAGAGCTAGGASTGTGTCAAAACTTGTGACAGATTTTTGTGTAAATAGGAGACCAAAAGTTCTCCAGTAGAAGTTATAGTACTGCTTTGTTTTTTCACTCTTCGGTCTTGATACATTTTTGTTAATTTTTCACCTTCATGACATGTTTAGTCCGCGGCTGTTCTCTGCTGACAATTCTTAGACATGTTATTTGTGGGCATGCACATATTTTATGTGCATTTATTAAGTTTTCATTCTACGGCTGAATTTATTTACCAGATTACCCTATGAAGACTTAAAGCAAGAAACTACGGGCAATTCGACAGGTTTATTTTTGTCAGAGATTTGAAAATTAGAATGCTTTAATGTGAAAATACTGTGCTATCTAGGCTTTCATTCACTGTGCAGAATGCAAGCTGATGCATTCTGGATGTCAAATAAGCAAAAGTWCAAATAAGAGAAGATGGATTATAACCCAGTAGTGGGCACTGCAGATATACTGAGCTGAAACATCCAAGCTATCCTTCAAAATAACTTTGATAGGTATGTTTGGTATAGCAAAGAACTCCCTTTATCTCTGTCCACATCCTTCCAAAATAAGGAATAAGCCACTTGCTGCCTTCTCACTTTTTCCTATGTGATTCCCTCTGTGTACAAATTTGTTATAAATCTGTTAAAGGTGCAAAATTAGCTGTAGTCATTAGGCACCRCAAATTAAGTATTTTTCAGCTTTATATGAAGTTTGAAATCTGTTAAGAGGTTTTGGTAAATTGGACCTGAAAAGAACACCTTTCAAACATTATTAGTCTTTCTTATTGTAAATGCTAACAATAGTGGTTGGCTTTATGGGATATGGCTAACACTTATTCTGGGTAGATAGGGAGGAGGAGGTGATACTCTATATTAACAAAACCAAAAGAAATTGGAAATACTGCCATTTTAATTCATGTGCAAAGATACTTTTATATTTGTGTGAAACATGCATACTATTTAATTTTGAGAAATATGTTTCTCCATTTTAAATGCATTTTTTGATAAAAGTAATATGCACATTTTAATTTGTGGTAAATAATTTCTCATTATGTGCTAGCACATAATGGACATTTTTGCAAAAGTGCAAATGGACATTTTGCATTTATTTTAAATGATATCTCTGTAAGATTTAGGTCCATTTACCTTAGTATTTAATAATTATGTTTTACATTCCTAGTGGGTTTCATTTTCTTTTTTGTTTTTAAAATGTTGATTGGTTTCTGTGATATRGTTCTTCAGTATAGCTGTCCTGTTGTTGTAAATTTTGGTAGAAACAGTTTTAGATGTTTGATGTTTTTAATAGCAGTAGGTACCAATGGATTTGTAGAAGCCTGTACCTTACAAGTCTAGAGCTTGTGACAACTTGGTTTGTCAGTTCGGGACTCTGCAGGTGTGCTGTCGAGTTAAATGGAACCTGTTGTAGCCCTTAAAAGATGTCTGTTGACAGAGCTTTTAGACGCCTTGGAAAATTTCCACAAATTTATAAACATTTACACATCATAACGGTAAATTAAAAGCCTTTTTATGTATAAGGAAAAAAATTAACTGAGGCTTAACTTTGTCTAGCATCAAAAACAATCTGTAAAAATATCTTTTTGCAATAACAAAACGAATAATAAGGACATATCATCCCTACCATTGCAGTGTTAATTATAAAATTATAATGAATTGGCAATTACCATTCCTGTAATTGCCACTACTGTCTTACTGGCCAAGGCGCTTTTTTATTCTATTCGAATGGCGTGAGTAAGAATGTGCTACTGCTAATATTCTTTCCAGTTTCATTTCAAGAGGAACAAAAAATAACTGGTTTTGTGGGGAGAGAGAAAAAGCAGTGAAAGTTTTCTTTGAAGCTCTACTGGTAGATAGTATGTTATTTTCACTTTCAGTTGTTATCTGGTGTATTACTAAAAGCTCATAATCAAGAAGTATAAGAATCAATTGAAGACCTTAATTAAAATTGTAAAGAAGCATAATTGGGTAGCTGACTTCACTCATCCATGTACAGACATGCTGAAACTAAATAATTAACAGAGGTAAAATGTGTTCATGTATTTTAAAGTGCCATTTAAGTCTGAATRGTCTTAATAATAAATGGGGGAATTCTGCTCCAGATGTCTTGTTCTAGAATGTCATTGTGGTTTTAGTCTCGCAGCTTTAAGGGGAAAGTAAGTTTTTTTCCATTTTCTGCCTCTTCTGTCTCTAGAAGAAATGCAAGAAAGCAAGTGAAAAAAAGACAGAGCTAGCCTTTCCCTAACAAATTATGATCAGAAAGGATCTATATCCTTCACAGTATTTAGATTATCATCTTATTATACAGCTAAATCTCATCAATTGTAATGGAAATTAGAAACCTACTGCTAGAATCAGTATAACTTTAAAGGCTACAATTTAGCTTTCAATCTGTGTATTACATATGCTCTTCCTCTTAAGATCAAAGCAAATCTGGGCTGAATTTGTATAATTAAGTAGATTTATTTTTTTTTTTAAWYYWAAWWWT